AGGGACATTCCAGAAGAATGGTTCATCTAACAGAAGTCTTATTTCATTGATAATCCTTATAGAAAGGGACATTCCAGAAGAATGGTTCATCTAACAGAAGTCTTATTTCATTGATAATCCTTATAGAAAGGGACATTCCAGAAGAATGGTTCATCTTACAGGAGTCTTGTTTCACCCAAGCCAACTTTAACAGTTTATGTTTTTAGCTAGAAAGATGGAGAACCGGATTAGACGTTCAAGAGAGGTATTTAGAGTTTGTAATTATATTATTCGACTATATTCCACGTATTTGTGACAGGAAGGCAGAAGAAATCAGGCTTTCCTGGAAATATAAAATTATTGTATATAATATTCCAAATACAAAAACAGGACATCATATTCTGCAGCTTTGCTGTGAGACACAAACTATGAATGGACGTATTAAAAGTCTGATACAAGTAATAAATACTCAATCTAAGTAACTAATCAATAATGAATGGTAAGAAAACAAACTAAATTATGTTGCCCTGAACGTAATTCTGTTAGTTCTTAATGAAATATACATATGAAAACTACGTTTCAAGCTAAACAACTTAAGAGACAAGCTTGTGGACCACACTCTTTAGTCAAGTGAAACCAAATGTAAAGAAAATAATACATTAAAACCTCCAAAAATTTTCAGTACGATTTTGTGTGCAAGAAGACAGATATGTTGGGGAAGTCGACATGCAGATGGTGTATTGTAAGTAGACGTGTTGTAGAAGTCGACATGCAGATGGTGTATTGTAAGTAGACATGTTGTAGAAGTCTACATGTAGATGGTGTATTGTAAGTAGACATGTTGTAGAAGTCTACATGTAGATGGTGTAGTGTAAGTAGACGTGTTGTAGAAGTCTACATGCAGATGGTAGACTTCTACAACACGTCTACTTACAATACACCATCTACATGTAGACTTCTACAACACATCTACTTACAATACACATGTAGATGGTGTATTGTAAGTAGACGTGTTGTAGAAGTCTACATGCAGCTGGTGTATTGTAAGTAGACGTGTTGTAGAAGTCTACATGTAGATGGTGTAGTGTAAATAGATGTGTTGGGAAAGTCGACATGCAGATGGTGTATTGTAAGTAGATGTGTTGTAGAAGTCTACATGCAGATGGTGTATTGTAAGTAGACATGTTGTAGAAGTCTACATGTAGATGGTGTAGTGTAAGTAGACATGTTGTAGAAGTCTACATGCAGATGGTGTATTGTTATAAACAGTTTCGTCGTGTACGTTAGGTTTGTTTGTTTGGAATTATGCACAAAGCTACACAATGGGCTATTTGTGCTCAGCCCACCACGGGTATCGAAACCCGGTTTCTAGCATTGTAAGTCCGCAGACATACCGCTGTGCCACTGGGGGGGGCATACGTTAGGTGTAATAGATAAAAAATGGTGTACAAAATATTGTTCTTAAGTGTTTCACTGTACAAGTCAGAAAAGATATTTATAGTTTTTTTTATTATATGCAGCACGTGAGTTTTCACGAGATTGTTATATTGTGACTTGTGTTTCCTTATTGGAGTTACATATCCAGCATGCAATAGGAGATCATTTCCATTATTTTATTATAAAATGTTTGCGAGATTTGAGAGAGACCCAAGTGGAAATCGGAAGTACCAAATGAAGGACAGTTTCCCCCCTTGATAACGATGAATGAGACCAATGGGGGTGGGGGACAATATGCTAAGGCATTCTGCTACCTTTCCTACTGAGAATATAAATTATCTGCACTGATAAGTTTACAATTTATAATATACGTTTCTGAAAGAACTGAAAGGAAAAAAAACACATATTAAAGGGCCTAGTTTTTGCTACTATTATGAATTATGTTTTGGGATGATGAACTGAACAAATACAATCTGAACTTTTGATGCAAACTTCTAGTATTGTTTGTTTTTAATTATGCACAAAGCTACACAAGGGCTATCTGTGCTCTGCCCACCACGGGTATCGAAAACCGGTTTCTGGCGTTGTAAGTCCGCAGACATACCGACCGCTGTGCCACTGGGGGGGCAAACTTCTAGTATTTCTTTGCACTCAAAATACGTGCATCGTGATGTTTGTTTTTCCATGAGTGCCATTGGGATTGGACTGAAAATATTTACTATACGTACACTTCAGCGAAAATAATAACCTATAAGATATTTTTCATTCGTTTATTTTCAAAATCTCCTGAATGGTAGAAACAACAAATTCGAAGGTGACGTACGTGCCTTGTCCGAAGATTTTAAACACCTGGAATATGTGGCATTTCTGAGGAGGAGTAGCAGATCGAATTATACCACGCGACGCACGATACAGCTGCACCACTTTCTACTGCTAACGTCTGGTTAAACTGTAGCATTAATCATGTCTAGAACTGACCACCTCCTTGTCCGAGACTTCATCCAGCTTGAATATATATTAATAAGTAGCTTCGGAAAGACTCAGAGGAAAGGTTTCTATTGAATTGAACATTGTCAATCAATAAGTCTTCCAATGGGACAGCGGTAAGTCTGGGGATTTATAACGCTAAAATCAGGGGTTCGATTCCCCTCGGTGGACACAGCAGATAGCCCGATGTGGCTTTGCTATAACAAAACACACACTCAATCAACAAATTATTGTTGTATATGATTTATTTGTGGCTGAAACAGAGTTAATAGATCCCGAGAGTGTAAAAACACAACAACTGAGACGTATTTTACGATTCACCGCTAGGGCACGGCGTGGCACACTGGTTAGCGTGCCTAGACGTTGAATCCAAGGATTCATGTTTTGCAACTCGTTGCCGCAAATACGCATTCCGCACCTTTGAACTGTGAGTGTGTTATAAGAGTAATGGTTAAATCCCACTATTTGGTAAGAAAAGAGTAACCCAAGAGTCGGCTGTGGGTGATGTTGCCTGGCTGTCTTCTCTCTAGCCTATTGAAATTAAAGATGGCTAGCGCAGAAAGCCCTTATGTACCTTTACGCGAATATCCGAAAACAACAACAACCAAATCAAAGAAAATATATATTGTGAAGTAAACTTCTAAAAGCAGCGGTAACCATGAAGGGTAAAACCTAGCGGCTTTTGTGAGGGTAGAAATAACTCTCTTGATGTTATTTCACCTCGGGTGTTCTCGATATATAGGATAGAGAAGAAAAGTAATGATAATATTAAGAGTTCCCGAATACGAATATTCTAGAAACCACACGAACACAACAAATAATAGTAGAAGCTGTATTTCTTTTTAAGTACTGAACTA